CAGTTCTTACAGTAGAGGTGATCGTTCAGTGGATAGCAACCGGCTCCATCGACCTGAAAGCAGGATTTCGGTTATGCCCTGCCCTTCAGTGACGCTATCGGAACTCTTGGTAGCTTACCTTGCTGGATAGCTGCATTCCACAATCTTCGCACTTATAGCAGGCTGGATGGAAAGACTTGTCCATGGCAATGACTCGTACCGATTCCTTTTCTCCTGGACGAGGTACAATCGCCTGGTTGCACACAGCGCAACGTGGAGCGAACCTTCTGGAACGAGAGGGATGCATGGATTGTTTACGGGCTGTCGTAATGATTTTGTCCACTAGAGCATTTCCTAAAGTTACACTTCTCGACCCCTTAGGCCTGTTTTACCGGGCACTGCCATCAAATTACGGTGGGTTAACAATTGAAGCCTGACTCACATTTGATAGCAATCCACACAGTAAACATTGTTTTCTGGATCGGAGGTAAACGGAACGCCATCCAGTGATTTCTTACAACTCTCGCAAGTGAAACAGTTCACGTGCCATACACCACCACGGGCTCGTAGAAGGCGATCGGTAATCTTTTGGTGGCATTTGTGGCAATTCTCGAGTGTTTTCTGCAAAACTTAGATACTGTAGATGAAGTGAAATGTCAGACGGTCCCACAGCTTACCTTCTACGGAACCAAACTAAAATCTTGAAGGGGAAAGAAGAGAGTATTACGAAGAAAACTTACGTTGTAACATTCACCGCACGTGGGATTGTTCTCAATGTTGTAGAATGATGATCCTGCCAGGGTTTTACCACAGGTTTTACATTTGAAACAGTTAATGTGGAAGATCTGAAATGGATATTGGAATTCAATGGGACAGTTGAGGACACATTCTGTCTCCATTTTCTCGTCCCAGCACGAGATCTTTTCTCACTTGTACTTGTACAGTTGCTTGGGGGTCGTACGAAGGATGTTGCTGATGCTTTTCAGTGGATTTTCTCCTGACGAGTCTTCTAGCAACTTATTTTCCACATTAACACCACTACTATCTACGCTGGCCGTGCCTTTGAAAACATCAAAGGAGCAGTGAAAAGAAGATGAAGGACGTTTGCCAAGTAAAGACATCGATTAACACACCTGATTAAGTGCAGTGCATCCCAGGATGCGTATGCTACTGCTGATCGGTTGTTGACAGTGGCGCAGATAGCTGCAATGGAAGCTCATCATTAGGTGAGGGTGCAGCTTGCGAAGAACCCTATTCTTCAACATATCCTTCTGCGGGGAATACAAGCACTTTGGTCTTTTCTCTATGTGGAGTCCATTCTCCCCTGCAACGAAAGGGAGGATATACAGGAGCGGGTGGGATTGAAATGGGGCAACCCTCTTCCCTCGCAGCTGGTCAAGGAATGGCATCCAATGATGGAGTCAGGTCACCTCTAGGCTGCGCCTCCAATGCCGCGCCCCCTCACGCTCCCCTTCATTTGCTGGATAATGACTGGTATGCTACCGGCTATAGGTTGTAGACGGTCTCTCGTTTTCGTCACTTTAGCGGCGTTAGTTGTACGCGGCCGTGAAACTGGGGAGGGACTGTGGTAGCTGAAATGTTGCCGTCATTCCGGCGCCGGACTACACGACTTATGTGAAGGCAATGACGCATGTTGCAACTAGTGATGCCTACACTGGCACCCCGGGACGCCCCACACCGCCAACGCAAAGAAAGCACGTGCTGGCAATATGCCCTAAAGTTGTGGCACGCGTATAGGTTGAAGTTGTAGAAAGCAATGGCGACTGGCGCAGTCAATCGTGCGGGAGCGCAGGCACGCTACATGGCGGCTAACTGACAGTGCGTGGGGCGGTCCCATCGTGGCGATCTGCCGTGCGTCGGGAATGCTTTGCTGGCAGATCTTGTCACAACCTCCAAGAGGCATGTGGTCACGCCTACGTCCAGGCGGCGAAAAAAGGGATGTTCCTGGCAGGCCTGCGGACACTGGCGCGATCAATGTCCATCGGGAACGACCAGGCCACTAACCTAGGTGTCCGCGATGCAACGGTCGCCTTTTGGGCGCCACTTTTGCGCCCGGTTCCCACGGCGTGCGATTTCCACGTGCGCGTGATCCGCCGCACGTGCGGTCGGTGGTTAGTATAGTACGGGCGCTGTCGACGCTGCAGCCCGGTGCCGGGTCGCTTTTCACCAGGGTAACCGCGGTGGACCAGCGTCGAAGGTGCAGGGGTGAAGTCCACTGTGACACTCCGAAGCTGGAGGTAGCCCGAGCGCCGGCCATGAACCGGCCGATGTCCATCCCCTGCTCCCCCGACTGGGAGCAGCCTCCACTCCAGCCCCGACGAGGACATCGACGATCGCATGGAGCAACGAGGAGTGTCGTCGGCAAGATGGGGGCATATTACGTTATTGCGTCCAAGGGGATGAAGCCTTAGCAGGCCTATTGCGTACTCGGAGGGGCAGAGCCCAGGGGGGCCTATTGCGCAGTCAGCTATGGAACGAAACCCGTGAGACGGCGACCAGGGAGAGAATATCTATTTTATTGTGGTGAGTATTTCGAGTAGTAAATATGTTTATTCACAATGTGTAGTTGTGTTCAATATGTTGGTATTGCCATCGTTTTGTACATGTAGGTGTGGTGTATTGCGTGGGTAATGCGTGTGTTATTAACGCATCGTTTAGTAGGGTTGGGTACCCTGGTCCTTGTCGTCTAAGCTGTTGGGGCGGTTGAATAGGCGGTAAGACCCCATGGTCCCCGAGGGGTGGTCCGCTCCTCCTGTTAGGCTGCGTTTATACTTTGCGGCAGCGTAGCGTAGCGCTTCCAGCGTACGCCAGCGGCAGTGCCGGGCAAAGGATAGGTATCGATCTAGCTTCACCAGCGTACGCAGCGGCACCTGGCGTAACGCAGCGTAATCGCTCAGCCGGCACGCTAGCGCAACGCTGGCGTGGCGAGGGCATGGAACAAGGTATCGATGAGCTTCACCAAGCGTTTCCTTCGAGGCGTTTGTCTCCAAGCCGTTTCTTCGCAGCGGCCACCGCAAGCGTTTCACTCGCACGTTGCAGCGGCAGGGAGTAGAGACTATGGGAGAGCTGGAGAGTACAAAACACATCGATTTCTCGTAGTGAAATGTGGCGCGTGTAGTGCACCACATCAGTGGGCACTACCGTACTCCCAACGATCAATACCGTGAGTTGAGTGTTGAAACTGATGTTTTTGGGTCGTCGCTGTCCTTCGGCATGCTCTCGGCGCCTCTTCCCGCCTTTGATGGCGCGGTTTCGTTAATCTTTTTTTTCTGGAATCTTCACTCTCAGCGAAATGCAGAATGCCCTGCTTTTTTCGACTTTGTTTATGGTGATTAACGGATTTGCAGATGTGACTGTGGCTTCGTCTGATGAATTTCGGTTCATATTTGCTGAAAAATTCATTCATTCATTTTCAAATTTTCATTTCATTCAAATCATTTCAAATTCATTCATTTTTTCCCAAAAACATCAGTTTCAACACTCAACTCACGGTATTGATCGTTGGGAGTACGGTAGTGCCCACTGATGTGGTGCACTACACGCGCCACATTTCACTACGAGAAATCGATGTGTTTTGTACTCTCCAGCTCTCCCATAGTCTCTACTCCCTGCCGCTGCAAGCGCTAGTGAAACGCTGGTGCCGCTGGAGAAACGCTGGAGAAACGCTCGAGAAACGCTGGGTGAAGCTTAGATCCGATCTTATGTCGCAATGCCCGGGATCGCTACGCCAGCGTGCCGCTGGTGACGCTGGTGAAGCTAGATCGATATCTATCCTTTCCCCGGCACTGCCGCTGGCGTACGCTGGAAGCGCTACGCTGCCGCAAAGTATAAACGCAGCCTTAGGGGGCACAGGAGGAGTGTAGTGGGCCCGATGGGGCGTCCGACTGGTAAGTCGGCGCACCGGGAGTTTGAGTGCGTTGACCGCCGATGCCGATCGCACATACGGGAGTGGTGCCGCGACGACTGGCAGGCGCAATGGGTGCCGTCAAAGAGACTACCCTGCATCAGCCACATAGATTGCCCCACTTAAAGCTGGCTCCACCAATGAAAGACCGAAGAGATTCTTTTTGTTTTTATTTTTATTGGAATTGTGGCCATCATAAAATGCAGTTGTGTACGGTGTACCGTGCGATATACCGTATACAACTCAAAATGGCCGCAGCTTTTGTCACTCAGTATGGACCAACGGAAGTGGGACAGTCTTTGTGCTGTCCCACTTCACGGGTCGGCCTATTTTGGCAAGAAAGAAATGCTGCGAATCAGTAGAGCGCGAGATCTGTCTTGGGAGGCCCAGCGCTCGTCGTATGGTCATAGAAATGAGTGAAGATGGGATTCTTTCAGTCACTGGCCCACCTCTTCTTTTTACCAGCTTGGAAGGAGGGGAGCGACAATAAAGAGGTGCGTAATAGTATGGTTGTCACCGCCTTCAAAATGCCGCTTCTTTGACCAATTTGGCAGCAGCTGAACGTGTCCCCTTTTATATGGAGCATCCAGTCGCACCCATAGGCGACATTTATAGTTCGCGAGGTCGGCAAATCAGCCACACTACTTCAAGCGAATTAGCGATTCCACGAGGAAATGGTTTCAGAGCAAGTCAACATGATAAGCGTCTAGGAATGAAGAACGCTCTTCACCGCCAACCAAGGATCGCTATGTCGCTCAAGTGATTTGTTGTCGCAAACTATGAACGCTGCCTCACTTCACGGCTTACTGTGCCCAAGTTCGTCGATGCGGTCACGACGGCCGCGAGGGTTGAGACATGAAACATGAAAACAAGTAAGAATGTGCTAACCTAGAGAGTACTTGGAGGAGTGCACAACGTGATGGAAGACCATAGTAGAGAATGTGAGCGAACTATCGC